AAAAAAAAAAAAAAAAAAAAAAAAAAAAGAGAAAGAAAAAACTGTGCCGGGGTAAATTATTTTCCAAAAATATTTACGATTATATTTTCGAATAAGAGGGAATAGAGGAAGGGGGGGGCAGGAATCTAATTGCAAGTTTACAATTTTTCTTGCCGCCTGCTTTCGTTAATTTTCACTTGATACGATTGACTAAAAACAGAAACAAGAAGCAAAAAAAAAATAAGAAAAGAATAAAAAACAGAAACAAGGAAAAGGATTTAGAAAAGAAATCAAAAGGAAAAAAAGAAAAAGAAAAATACGAGAGCAAACATATTTTTTAAAAATATAACAGACGATCGAACAAAACAAATTTGTACGATTTGTTGTGTGTTATTCTTTTAACATCTTCCTATTTCATGTTTAATTAATAACGAGGACGGGGTGAAGGAACAAATTATTATATTATTATTATTTTTACTTTTTTTTTTCTCCTCCCCCTATTCTTTCTTTCTTTCTTTTTTACTTTTTTTTTTTTTTTTTACTGAATAGATATTTACTTACTGTTCTTTTTTTCTTTCTTTTTTTTTTTGTTTTGTTCTATTTATTTTCTTCTTTAAATAGTTGGTACATGTATTGTACTTACACATATTTGTAAATGATTATACTACAGTAATATACATACTTATACAATTGAATTTTTATTTTACATAGTACGTAAAGATTATAAACTTTTGAATTGGTTAAAGAAAAAATAGAAATTGTATGACGACTTCTTTTTTTTTTTTATGAGTTTTACAATTTAAATAAGGTAATTTATGTTGCTAAAAATCCACCGTCTATTGGTAAAGTTATTCCGTTTATCATTGAACTGCGATCACTTAATAGATATACTATCGCATCTACGACTTCGTTGACTTCTAAAAATTCAAAATTGAATAACAAAAAATAAGAAAATTTGAATACCTTGACCTGCAGAAATAAAACGAAATATAAAGTGTTTTAAATAATATTGACTCAACTGAACCGGTTACCCTAAGTTTAAAAACAGAACGGAATATTTATATTTTGATGAAATTGATACAAAATATTAATAATAATTAAAAAAAAAAGTTAACATTTTAAAATAAAAAAATTAATAGTTTTGCGTGAAGTGTTATAGGAAAAAAAAGAAAAATAACGTCTCATAGACGTTATCGTATGCCAACGGGTTAATATACTAACTTATATAATAATATATGGGAAGAATAAAATCATAATTGAATGATTAACGTTTAGAGAATAAAACTAACCTGCGAATCGACCTAATGGAATTTTACTTATCATACTCGAAGCTTTATCTTTGTCGCTCCATCCTAATTTTCCCATTTCTGTTAGAACAACCGTAGGATTGACAGCGTTCACTCGAATATTAAAAGGACCGAGCTCGAGAGCCATTGTTCTAAACAAAAAATATAAAAGTCAAGGGAAGGGATTATTGTAACGTGACGAGAGTAAAAAAATTGTATGGGTTTTTTGGTTTTTGTTTTTAATTATTCGATAATACAAATTCAAATAAATAAATCAATACTCTATGTAATAATACTATTCAGGGTTAAAAGTTTATCTATTTAATCTGGAACTTTATCGTAAAGCGGATAAAAACTCGACGGTGGGGGATCGGTATCGAATAAAATATTTTACTACCAGTCGCGGTTAAAATATTTGAACTGAATGTAATTTTTACACGAAATCAAAAATATTTTACATTTAATTCTTCAATCAATTTTATTTTAAAACTAATTTGAAATTTGTTGCTACTTTGGAGATGATTGATTGATAAAATAACAATATTCAAAACTAATCTGATTAATTTATATTTTACTATATTAAAATCATGATTATTAAATATACAATCTTAAAAAGTTAAATTTAAACTTTTTGAAAATTCACAAGTCCCGACTCGGCAATTTATATTTTTCGTGTATTAATTTGAATTAAAACAAAATATTGGAGCACATTATCGAAGAACGATTAATTCCTGATGAAATATTTTGAAAAGAAGAAAAAATAGGAAAAGTTTTAGTGACTCGTGCAATTGTGACAAACCCATCAATTTTTTTCGTATTTACAGTTAAAAAAAAAATGATTTCAAGAGGACAATTATTTGTATTGGATGAATGTATATTCGTGAATATTTAATTTATTTAGAATCAATCATCTATTCTAATGATTATTATTGGATCACCCAGTATATAATAAAAAAAAAACATAAAATGTTCTCACTTTGTTAACATATCGACGGCCCCTTTGGAAGAACAATAAACAGCATGATCCTTCAATGCTGCTTTACTTGCTTGGGAGGATATATTGACGATACTACCACCAACATTTCTTTTGATCATGTTATTAGCGACCACTTGAGAGACGTTCATAATGGCTTTAACATTGACGTTAAATACTAAATCAAATTCTTCCGGTGTTGCATCCAAGAAAGGAGATAAACGAGCTACACCAGCATTATTCACCAATAGATCGATCGGTAAAATGTTTTCAACAGCTTTTCTCGTTGCATTCCAATCTTTAAGATCAACGCATACTGGTATGATCTTTGGATCCTCGACAAGTAATTTGTTTAAATTATCACTCGTTCTAGAAAGAGCTATAACTTCAGCTTTATATTTGGACAAACGTAGTGCTAAATTTTTACCAATTCCTATGATCAAATTTTATCTTTTATTTTTTATACAGTTAATATCAATTTTTAAATGAAATATATAATGGCAAGCAAAAATAATTTTTGTCAATAATGAAAATTTACAATTAAAATAGTAAAAATAAATGATATTTATATCGTGACATTGAAAAAAAATAAAAAGAAAATATAATAAAATGTATATACGTAATTGCATGAAATTACAATATGGTGGTCTGCGTTTGGTAAACAAAAAAATAAAAATAAAATAGAGAACAATTAATTTTATACGAACAATTTTATATTAAGATATCATATACTTATTACATTTTTTTTTATTATCATTTACACAAACATTGTAATATAATTTTATTCTTAATTATCAATCGATTAAGAATCAATTTGTTTGATTAATAGGTGCTAGAAGAAGTAAGAGAAAGAAGACGACGCCGCGTAAAGCTTTGAACGCGAATTAAAAAAAATATATATATATATATATTAAAAGAAAGAACAAATATACCTTGACCAGCACCAGTGACGAGAATCCGCTTGCCTTGAAAACTAATATTCATCGTGATTTGCTAACTCGACGAGATGTTGTGCTGCACTGTTTAATCAAGAAACTCTCGACAATGATTGTATTTTGTTGGATGTACGTATCAGATTAATCGCTGAATTAAATACTTAACAACACTTGTATCAATTTGTCTGATTAGCAATAGTTTGGATCATTGACATTTTCTCCTATAAAATTGTATCAAAATTAATAACATTTATAAAAATAAATTTAATCCCAACGAGAGAAAATTATGATTATTATTATTATTATTATTATTATTATTATTTAATTTAATTTTGTGTGCATGTGTGAATATTCATTTTGAACAACGTGTGATCTTTTTTCTTCGGATAAACAAAAAAAAAATGTATACTAATAATAAGTAAATAACTCACATATTATCTCGTGAGTGTTATCTCATGAGTAAATGTAATATTTCACTCTGAAGTTGCTTCAAAGAATCAGTAATCGCGTATTTATTCATGAATTATTAACACATACTATACATTATATTATTCAGATCAATGCGTTAACGCTTACTGTATCATAATAAACTTCGATTTCGATAGATCGATCAATCGATCGAAAAATTTATTCCCAATACATTGAAAACTTGTATTTGATTAAAATAAAAATGATTTAATTGTTTATTGCATAATCTTAATGACTCTTAGTCATCGTGCATTATCTTAATAATATCTAACATCTTATTTAAATCTTTGATTTTGAATGATTCGATTTTTGAAGTGATATCGAGATTGTTTAGCCTGCCATCTAGCGTCCGAACTTATCAATTAATATCATCAATTTATATCAGTTGATAATGTTCATATGAATGAAATAATAATAATAAAATAAATAAAGAATAAATAATCTAATTTAAATATACATATATACTATATTTTGTGTTATTATCGTTAAAATATGGAGACATCTGATGCTATATAGAAATAAAACTTTATATTACATTTAACAATTTACACTCATTGTCAGCCATTACAGTGTATGCAGCAAACGTTTTTATTCGTTAAAAATGCACACCCAAGTGTACGTGTGTGTATGTGTCATTACACATAAGTTCGTATACCGTAGTAATTTAGATTAATATGTAAGAATTTTTCATTTTAAATAGATAAAAATATTTGATGTTCTTTTTGTGTGCGTTTATGTTCGACTTACTGTTCGCTAAGTGGATAGATTGTAAATTTTTGTAGTGGATTATTGTAAATAATAATGATTAATACTTTTGTTTATTTTCAATAAATAACTTTTCGAAATATTATATCAATGAAATACAACAAAATATTGCAACAATTTAATAAACCGTAATAAAAGTCTATTCACATAGACAAAATTTATTTATCAATTTGATTAAAATCATTTAACAGTTTTAAACTTAATCCATTAGTAAACAATAATATAATATACTAATTATTTGTATTGTTATTATTATTATGTTATGATATGATTCTATTTTAATTAATATACTTATACATGAAATTGTTCTCTTAATTATTTATGTAAATCATATCGAAACTCATAAGAATATTTGTATTTTTACACATTAAATACGAAGTAAAAGATGAAATTATGTGATTTTATGCTAGATGCCCTTGGACTCATGACTTAAATTCTCTATTCTGAGTGTAATATCGTCATACGATTTTACGGATGGTTGATTTAAATTTTCTTTTACAGGATGGTGCTTCGCTTGAAGTATTTCCGTGGCTTGTTCACTGATTTCATTCCAAGCAAACTTAATGTCTTTTTCTTGACATAACGGACTGCATATGCAAAAACGAATGATATATTTATCGTTTAATGTAGCGATAATAACAAAAATGCGTTTCCTTTCAGTCAAACGTTTAACAAGTTCTTGTGTCCAATCATCCTCTCCCTGAAATAAAAATAAAAATTAAAATTAAAATTAAAAAAAAAGGAAAGAAAATGTGTTAAAGTTTTAATTTCTCTTTGGATTCAAAATTAAAATATGTCCACAGTATTGTCCTGGACTGTCGTAAAAAAGCAGCTAAAAAAAAACGAAAAGAAAAACTTAGAAATCCTAATTGTACTTGTAAAAATTAACATTGTCGATTGTCCAGTACAAATTGAATATATTTTACGTAAGATTCAAATCCGCAGTGCGACAAAATTTAAATCATATGATTTAAAAAACTTTTAATTACTCAATTAATGATAATTCAAATTTTGATAATGTGAATCAAAGTAAAACACACAATTTGACAATCAAAAAAGTTAAACGAATGTGATATTTTTTTTTTGGTGCGAGAAAAGTAAATAAAATTTATAAGCAAACAGTTTAAAGGAATAAAAAAAGAAAAAAAAAACACAGAATGAAATTTATTGCTCTATACTGAAACATCATAATTTTGGTTAATTGTTTCGAAGAATATCTGAATAATTTATTAAGTAAAGACGACTGTTAATCATATCTGGATGACACGAAACTACAATATTTTATCAATCACGTGAGGTAATGTTCAACACGCTCAATATTTCATACCTTTAATCGGAAACTAATTAGACCCATACTATTCGTGACAAGTTCAAATCTTTTGTCAGATTCAACGTATTTAGCAAATTTATTTGCTATTGATACAGTATTTCTTATGTGTTGTTGCATTCCTTCTATCCCATGAAGACGTAATACAAACCAAAGCTTTAAAGAACGGAAACGACGTCCTAATTGTATTTGCCAATGCTATAAAAAAAAACAAAAAAGTATAATTACATCGTTCGAATTTTGTAAAAATAATTGAAATGATAATTCACATAGAAACATACTCTAAATTCAGGTGTGACACCTTGTTTATCGTGTGCCAAATAAATTCTGTCAACGTTCATTGCCTCGATGAGATATTTGGAATCTTTTACCCTAAAAATAAATTATTCGTCATTTAAAATATATCTTTTTTTGTATTCCTTTTTTTTCAATAACGCGTAATTTTCTTGCATATAATTTGCTTGGCAAATGAAGATATTTACCACATTGCAGAACAATCAAAATTAACGAGCATCCATTTATGACAATTAACGTTAAATGAATCAGCGTAATGAACACCTGTCATCAAATGTCGATATTCAGGACAAACAAATGCAGCACCTAATTAAATAACAAATTATTATTGAATTTAATTAATTGATTTACGATACGATATTGTGTACGATCATGAAAATATAATTATATACTGACCTACATATGCGGCATCAACATGAAGCCATAAATCGTATTGATTACAAATAGGTCCTAATTCATCTAAATTATCCAAAGCACAAGTACCAGTAGTACCCAAAGTTGCACAAACGAAACATGGTATAAGACCGTTTTCTAAATCATTTTTAATTGCTTTTAATAATGTATCACCACGAAGGCTTCCATTTTCGTCTGATGGCAAAAGTTTCATCTGAACGGTGGCTAAAAGTCCCGCTTTTTCAACGGACGAGTTTGCCTGATCTAAAATATTAATGAAAATATTTCGTTTATTTTAATACCCCAAGTTAATTATTGTCAGTTTCGATTAACATTTAACAATATCAAGAAATATAACTAATCAAAATTTGTTAATAAATTTCAATGATAAAAATCGAATAATCAAATTACCTGAACTATAAGCTACTAATTTGGATCTAATCATGCCCACATCCCAATCGGGATGAATACTTTTCATACGTCGAGTTATTCGATCTTTGGCAGTTATTAAGCAGATTAATGTAGTTTCACTAGCGGAACCCTACGTAAATTGGCAAACAATGTATTTATATTATAAATGATGTCGTTAATGTATTAATATATATATATATATATAAAGATTAATCAATTAGTCATATTTATAAATTAAGAGCTGATCATTAATAATCAACAAACTACAACAACGGCTCGTTGGTCTAGGGGTATGATTCTCGCTTAGGGTGCGAGAGGTCCCGGGTTCAAATCCCGGACGAGCCCGTGAAATTTTTTTTTTTCTTACTTTTTCTTCCTTTCTAATATTTAATGTCTCCTCAATCAATTTTTTCATTAACAAATTTAGTTTTCCTACATAAATATTATTTAATTGAATTTTTAAATCTTTCGTAAATCCATTTATACCTTACGCTTGCATTCGTATAATTTGTAGCAATGCTTTTTTATATTACTTTCAATATAATTTGAATGTTATTTATTTATAAAAAAAAAAAAGAAAAAAAAAGAATTAAACACGATGAGAATTATAAGAGAAAGCCAATTAAAAGAAAATTTATTATTTACGATTTATACGATGGTCAAAAACTAGCCATAACATGATTTAATTATTTAAACGTTTATACACTATAAATATCTTTTTACGTTAAATTATTATGTATTGATTACAATAAACATTCGCGAATAATTGATTTTTTTTCTTTACAATGTTTTCAGTAACAATTATTTCTAAAAAAACAAGAACAGAAAAAAAGTTAGACAATTATTACCTGTATAACACCTCCTCCGGAACCATTGCTACAATTTAAGAATTCGGATGGAAGATTTAACATTTTTCCAAGCCAATTTAATGTGATAACTTCTAATTCTGTAAAAACAGGTGAACATATCCAAGAAAAACCAACGCCTCCTAATCCAGCGCATAGCAATTCACCAACGATGGATGCATACGATGGGGCAGCGGGAAAATATGCGTAAAAATGAGGTGAATGCCAGTGTGTCATCTTAAATAATACGACAGAATATAAATACACATATATCATATACAAGTATAACTGTGTATATAAAAAATACATATACATTTTGTACTCATACAAAATTAGATACGTTCTTTTTTTTTTTTCTAACAGGTATAGAGTCGATACAAATAAATTATCCCCTTGCAAATATTGTGACAAAAAGAAAAAATATTATTTTAATATTATATATTTAATTTAGAAAACTGATTATATAGATACATCCGCGTGTATTATAAATTTACTTACTTACCCCAGGTAGAATTACTCTTTCAATATCTTTGAAAACCTCTTGCCAAGTCTCAGCTTTTACAGGCGCTTCTCCTGGTATCATTTGACTGAGATAACCAGGTTCAACGTTAGGAAGTACAGGTCTATCTTTCAATGTTTTAATATAATTCGCAATAAAATCAATCGTAGTTTTGCCGAAATCAAGAAAATCCTTGTCGTCCATCCTTGCGATAATTTATTTATTTCTCTTCCGTTTAGATCAATTGGTTGACTGATATATTACAGTTAAAAATTATAACAATTGAAAATTGAATGAACTCTTTTAAAATAGCAGTTTTGTAATTTCTTTCTTTATTCTATTCCCTTTTTCCACACCTGTACTTTGTAAATTATTAACTAAACTCAAACGAACAGGTCTTTATACATCGATATAGTTAACTAAGAATGAATTATTAAATTTGACTTGATCAGAATCGTACGTACGATATTTAATTGTACATTGCGTCGAATTATTTTTTCCGTGGCGGATGTTTGAACGCGCTTGTCGAACTAACAAAGATTCTTTAAGAAATGACTTCTCTTCAGAACTGCCACGTAAGGTTAAATGCTTATACATAAAGAACTTTCACCTGCTTTCTCCGCAATTATTCAAAATATTGGTTCGTCCGTAATAAGAAAGATATTCGCAGAACTTCAATTTTATTTTATTTTATTTTATGTCTCTCTTTCTCTCACATTCTTTCTCTCTCTCTCTCTCTCTCTCTCTTTCTTCATTTATCTGTTTCTACTATTTTCTAGTTAATCCTCTATAATATATTTTTTTGCATACAAACTCTATTTATTCTATCAAACTATTTTACAATAACTTTCTATATGTAAATTATATATCAATTAAATATATTTTCATTAAATATTTACATATATGTGATATCCGAAAAATTATTAATTAAACTTTAGACTACATATTATTGAGTTCAAATAAATGAAAACGGTCTATATAAATTTATGTTTCCGAATGTTTGATTAAGTATATAAATTGTTTCTAAAGGTATTTATAATTTATTGTGACAATTATATATATAAGAAATATTCGAAAATTCCTATCTCCGAAATAATGCATATTTTTCTTTGGTTTTGGACATTTTTGGACCCATAAATGTAAAGAAAACTAATACCATAGCGTTAGCTGAACATCATTTTACAACAGGACATAATTTTAAATTTGACGCAGCAACTATTTTAGACTTAGAAGAAAATTGGTACAAAAGAAATATCAGCGAAATGTTTCATATTTCAAACGATAACACGATAAATTTTAGAACTGACACGAATAATTTAAATCACATCTATAACGGAATTTTTAAAATTTAACGATAATAAATCGAACATGACAATAGAGGACACCTTACATTGAAGATATCTAGATTAATAAACACTAGTCTCTAGATTGAAACAGTATTGTTGAGAGTTCAAATCATAACGATTGAATATTTAACGAAGTTTAGATGTTTTGTGCTTGGAATATTAATAAAAAGAAAAATGTATGTCTACACAATAAAAAAATGACGCTGAACTGCAAGATTAAGGTAACATGTTAAAAAAATTATTGTATGAGTCTCATATATGTTATAATATAATAAAATAAAATTTCCAGTTGCTGAAGAAGTCCCAATAAAGGGACGAAACGTCCAACTTAGTTAAATTAAGTTCTACTTCTTTTTATGTCCAAGTTCCCTGTGATTCCGTATTAAGAATTATAATTTTGGACGAGAGAAATAATTAATTAAGTTAAGAATTTGATTTACAAATTATCTTTTTTCTAAATTTTCATTAACATTAATTCTAATTTATTCTAAACTTTCGCGAATTACGCGAATACAACTAAAAGTGAATTAAATTATGAATTTTGACAATTTTGATAAGATTTTAATTTGATAAAAAGAAAACGAAAAAAGAAAATAAATATTTTGTCCACACCTAAACTTACGTAAGAAATCCACAGATGTAACTTTTCTTAGAAATAATTGTGTATAGTCATCAATGACTTACAACCGTTCTTATTCTTAAAGTATTAGGTACTAATACTGACTATCGGTAATATTTATCACTCACTCTTTATATACCTTCAGTTCTCTAGGTTTTTGGTTTGCCTGATTGTAAAATGACGTAGATAATTACTTATGTTGTATATTTTCTCCTTCTTCCTCTTCCTTATTATCTTTCTTCTTCTTCTATATTACATATATTAGCCCAGTCAATAAGAGGTGAAAAAAAAACTTTCAGGTAGAAGTTCTCGACAGTTTGATACAAAGGTAATTCGACGTCGCTGAATC